CAACTTTCCCTAATTATCACAAATTTTTTGGCTTTCTAACTATGCACCAAGAGCCATTACAAAATCATTCTAGATAGTCATTAATTTTCCAGTTGGAATGAAGCTTGTACTAACAGTGAAATTGACAATTCTCTGTTCAGTAAACATTATATAATAAATCATTTGATAGACAAAAACATTTTCTTTCTATTGGTTATAGGTAATATATAATAAAACATAAGAGAGAAATATAAACAAATCCTGAAAGAGAGGATGTGACAGGTGGGTGTGGCAAGAAGTGTCTGGTTTTCTATTTGATAGTTCTGAACCAATAACAATTGAAGGCTATAAAAATCATGGTTTGTCTGAACAATGACAATTTTATAGTGAGTAATTTACATTGAATTTCTTAATAATTGGGGAAGTGTGGATAAAATAGAGAAGAGGAGATGTGTCACACTAGGAGAAATTCAGGTTTTTTTTTAAATATTGTCTTATAAGATTAAAAACTTAAAATTTATATAATATTAAAATATGGATTATTAGCTATGATTTTATGCTATACTAATTAGTATAACATAAACAAAAAAAAGTAGTTTAATAAATTTATGAATGCAAGTTGCTAAAACCTCGTGACATAGACAGTAAAAGATGCCCAAGGCAATAGGATTAATTAACATTTATTCACCACTTAAAACTTTTTAAACATTGATTCTATAACGTTAGTAATAGTAGGCCTATTTGTAGTCTAATTAAAGCATTAGGCCTAATACATAAATGTAACATAAGGCTTAGCTGAAACACTACTTGGTAAATTTTATTTTACTTTTTAGCTACAACTCAATGTCATAAAACTTCTAAATTAAACTATTTTGCTGTTATATCACTGAAGTTATAAAAAAATAATAATAAAAAACAAACTTTTGTAAAAAATCAACAAGAATATTGAGCATTCAATATAAACATCATAGTTTGCCTAAGAACAATCAGGTGATAGTTTTGTTGCTAACCGATAATGTATATTGTTGATACCAAAAAAGGAGCATGAAAGAGTTCCCAACAGAGTGACATAGGAAATAAGCCTTTTATAGTTAGTGATGTTTAGATCTATATACATTTACGAATTTTGATTTTCCCAAGATGAATTTCATCCAAAAAAATTACTGTAATAGGCTAATGAGCAACATCTGCAAGTATTGTTTAAATTGCAATGATGAAATTTGTCCCTAACATCAAAAAGATAACAATGGAGAGAAAGTGCATATTTTCCCACTATTTGTAAATTTTCAGGCCTCTACATGACTTTTTTATTTTTAGTTGATTACAGTAGATTTGTCATATTAGTAGAAAAAGTCTGCCTTATGACAGCTGTTTGGCATGAAGTTTTTTCTTTTTGGTTTCTTTAACCACAGTAGTATATTTTAAAAAATGTGGAAATAGTTTCATTGCTATGGAAACACTTGGGTGTTTTGATTTTATTTTTTCCATATATACCATGTAAGTAAAGTATTATAAATTAAGCAATAATAATAATAATAATACTTAAACATTTTTTTTGTTTACTTTTTCAAGTACAGCACCATAATACTTTGTTCAAATTACTGAACAATAACAACAAAGACAATGCAGGGACTAATTACGGTATTTTGAAAAAAATACTCATTACCACCATCATGTAAATACTGGATTATAAATCAAGTAAGAAGTACAGGGCCAGTTTATCTTTGCATACACATCACCCTCAGACTTTGTTTCAGTTACTGGCTGTAATAAAATATGGAAAATACTGAAACTTACAATGTTGTACAATGAAAAACTGGACCTTGATAATATTGATGAATTAAGTGCCCCTTGCCTGAATAATGTTGGGAATCCGTGCTATATACTCTATTTCTGATGGATTAAAAAGTAACTGATTTACTTGATAATTTATATCTTAGTAATTTTTCAGTGTATTCTCCTTTGAATTCAACACTTACCTGTTAAAAGCCCTGGTTATTTCATTAAGTTAAACAGTTTATATAATTCAGAGTATTTTGTCATAAACCTTGGTCAGAACATTCTACAGTATTTAATATATAGTAAGCACCAGACAAAAGAAAACAACACAATGACAAGATAGCCGTGCAAGTTCATTAGCTTAGGAGAACAAAGGGTACGTAGGAAAGGAGATACCAGAGAGGCTGAACGGTGGGGGACCCTTAGACCGAGAGCTTGGATCTAGAAGAAAAGAAAGAGCAAGTATTTCCAAAAGTCAAACTGGCTTAGGGTATTTAGCAAACATGACACATTATAAAACACAAGAAACAAAAGAATTCAACATACATGGTTTGCCAGTAGTATCATAAACTACAACAATGTACTTTCTAACAAGCACCCACATGTACAAATACACCATGTAACTTTAGAGAATAATACTGTTACGAATTTTTAACACATGTTAATGTGGAATATGATAGTTAAATAGCTTTATGCACAACCACAGAAAGGGTATATTAAGAACTGAGTGAAACTTTTACAACATTAAATATAACTACTGCACATTAAAAAGTAGAATTTCATAATTAACTTGAGGAGTAAATAACAATCATGCACAAGACTACATAAAGTTAGAGCTCAACAAGTAGGGAATATTTTGAAAATAAGTTTAAAAATTCCCTAAATTAAGAAGCAAGCAGTACACATTTCACAAGATAAAAAGTGCAAAAGCAAATGCTTTTATCACCAAGGCACAAAATGCCTAATGACACTTACCACTAGCTGTACGAAATATCATTGTTGCACTTTCACTATAATCAATTTCATTCTTGGCTCTAAGCTCAACCTTATAATATGAGCTAGGTTCTAGATCTCTTATTGTGAAGCGACCTGAGCGCCATTCTGGATCCTTTATCTCAATTGCCTTTACTTCACCAAGTCTGATCCATGAATTGACATCTCGCTTCACCTGAAAGGATTGATAATAATTAAAACTTCCCATTAAATGTACAGCACTTTCAATGCTTAACTAATTACTTCTAATAAATAAAATGAAAGTAATAATTACTTATCGTAATATCGAAAATCAGAAACTATTTTGCACATTCTACTGTCTTTTTTTTCATACATCTGACAGTTATGACATCTTGAAATTAATCATTAACTAATACTTAGATTTAGGCGACTATATAGACTATTTACCATAACAACAAACAGAAAGTACTCTTTGTTTTTCAATGATACCATAAGAATGTGTTTAAACTTCCTCCATACAAGCAATTTCAATAAATACATCATGAGTTAAAGTAACAAAACTGATTAGACAGAATAACAGCATCTTATGTTTCATCGTTATCTAATTAGGAAAATATCATGTGTTCAATGTTGGGTATTGAAAATTTGAACCTATCTAGTGCATTATATATTCCCCCTCCAACATATTTGACAGGTATAATGTCCTTAGATTTTAAAGTAAATTAGTTTATTCATTTCACAGTTTTACATGTTTGTATAACTGTATGTATCAAATTTCTAGAGCATCCCTATGAAGAATAGTTTATAAGTTTGTTGTATATGTGCATGAAGCTCTTAATGAATTCTCCCAGTTTTGGCTTCACTGCTTGTGGTTTACTCCAAACAAATGTGACTTCTAGTTCTTTCTCTAACCAGTCCCATCTAAATTAGTTTTTAACCAAACTATTAACTTCTCAGCACACACTTCATCACGTTGCTTTGTAACCTTTGCCATTTTTCTAATTTCAGTCCATTTTCAATTAAACTAATATGCTTATATTAAAAGTTTAAAATTCAGGGTGCTTGTGTAAATATAATTAAATGATTAACATTTTTTAACTGTGCACTTAACAACATGGATAGTTTGACTGTTTTAATAACATACACACCTTCAATGAATTCTTTGTGTGAATAATCTATGCCCTAAACATGCCCTTTTGTAAGGACAGGAAAATGTATTAACTAAATTTTGACTGGTAAAATTGTGGTACTTATTTGCAAGTTATTGAAGTTTTGAGAAGAGAATATTGTTGTGTGAAACTGCAATATGATGGCACTTTTACTTTTGTGTGTATTATGGGAATCATAAAATAGTCAATATCTGTTACTCCCCCAACTTTATTTATGGATTATTGCAAATGTTGTGAAGAACCCTGGGCAGCATTATAAAGTTGTAGTTTTACTGATTCACAGATATTTCTCATCCCTACATAGGTGTCCAGTAAAATGTTGAACATGCAGAAAAGTTACTGACATCATTATTAAAACACATACTTCAAACATTTCTATTTTAGATGCAACTTAATTTCTGCAACACATATTTAAATGCTTCATTATTACATTTTTGGTAGTAAATGACTCATTATTTAGGAATGAGCAAGCAGGTATAGTTGACTTGTGACATTTTACTTACCATTCAGGTAAACAAACAAGTTTATGATGGGTCATGACAGAAATATAAATTGTTTTCCATATATATTTTGGTTGCAGATATTTTAATATTTTTTGAAAAAATAATTTGATAAAGATATTTAATTCTCCTAGACTCTTGAATATGTTATCCTTTTTTAATTATTTTCCAAGCCTTGAAATTGAAATCACAAATTTCCAAGACTTATCAGAATATGTACAAAAGTTGTTAGAAACAGAGAGGATGAGACTCAAATTGGGGTAAAAAACACACAGTTCAGGAATAAGATAGCATTTACAGTGATAACAGGTCTTTAAATTTCCCAGGAAAATTGCAATGTGTTAGAATGCAGAGAACATGTGTAATTACAAAAATCAATCAATAATAAAGTGAAATGAAAATAATATATTATAAACTGAACCTCAAAATTCCCTACTAAATCACAACCACAGTAAACATAAAATCGAAATAAACTGTATTCGTAACATAAATTCAAAACAAGTATTTTTCTTCTTTTGCATTTTATGCTTACAATATTCACAGCAGAGTACAAGAGTTGAAATGTTATAGAAACAAACTCTGTGTTTGTGTTCTGTTAAATATCAGAAAAAATCAGATATATTTATAAATATGATTCAACAGTTTTTACATCAAATAAGAACAAATTATTTTGAACCATAATTCATCACATATAAGCCACATCATTTCACCACCATAAATAACTCTTTCAAAGTACTTTGTAGCAAAGCAAGCATAAAACATGACATCAATTACCATGGTAATCACCCTGCTCATCTTTAACTCTGCTAATAAAGAGTAACACAAGGAAAACATTAGAGGTTCTGATGAAGCAACTTAAAAATTTTCGAGGAAATTTTATAAATTGCTTCAGTTTTAGTAGTTGAAAATACATATAATAAAAACTTAAGGGTTTTTGGTATAAGCAAGTAGTCAAGGATATATATAAAAAGAAAAAAAGTGACAAGAGGACACCTGTGTTACGAAATAGGCCTTGAGAATTGATAAACAGAAACTTAGTTATGTAAGGAGTATTGCCTAGAAACAAGCAACAAGACACGTGTATTACAAAAATAAGCTTGAGAAGAGAGCTTGGAAACCAGTAACCAAAGTCAGCAGCAGAGTTAGTAAGAAATGCTGCATAGAAACAGGATGTAGACACCAGTACATATGACAATTTGAAGAATTGTTGACCTCACCCACTTAGAACTAGGAAAGCTACAGAAAAGTTTAGGTTTGGTGAGTCATATAGGCACTTTGAGGTGGTATTAGTTACAGCACATGGGTGTAGCAGTACAAGTGAATATAAACTATTCAACAAACAGGTTATGGTTAGCATAAATAATAAAAAAAATTTCAAAAGCAAGGTCAGGGCACGAAATTAAGAAACAATTCAACCGGACAGGTGGTCGGGCAGAAAAATATATATTTGCCGGACCCTCAAGGGTTTACTGGATTTCACTTTTTTCTATGATAATTCATGTTTTAATTTGTTTGTAAGAAGTATAGTGTGATTTAAATTTATTATATGATATAATTTAATAAACTAATCACTTATCACATAAGTCTTTATTTACGTTCTGTAAAACAATAAACTCAAAGGATTATCAAAATTAAATATCCAAAGTTAACAATCATAATGAAAATTATCTAATAATGGCTTTCTCAGTTTTACTTATTTGTTTTCAACTTTGTGAGAAGCATATAACTGTGTGACTTCTAAACTATTCATAGAATTACAAAGAAATCAATAAATTCAAGTAATTATCAGTTTTAATTACCAAAAGGTAACAGTCATCATCATCAAAGTTATTTGAGACTAGCTTCTTCACATTAAGTCATATCACTGTCATATCATCATCTACCTTGCTTTCTGCTGTGTATCATCAATCTCACTAACTGTATCATTAAGTCACACTCCTCTTCTAGAGCAATTAGTGCTTCATCTTCAAAATTGCATCTGCCTTTTGTTTTTACTTTCAATATAGAGGTGGTGAAGGTCACTTTGATCTGATGCCAGCTGATCTCCAGAGGTGGAAGACTGGTTCAAGATCAGTCTTTTACACTTGTTGTATGTAATTTTATCCTTATAAAGTCTGATACAGTCTCTGGTTGAAGCAACCATTCTGCAAATCTCTATGCACTAATTTGTATAAATTGAATCCATGCTCTACTTCAGCACTATGTGCTTGCAGGCTGAGTATAAGATCAACGAGTGTAAGAAAGTTCTCATGCCCACCATGCCACCACATTTCCAGCCAAACTGCTGCATTGTCAACCCTCTGATTTGTATCCTTTGTCTGACGAGTCACAGACTGGATAATAACTGTCTTTATGGTGGTGCATTCATTCATAACTGCATCTAGACTGAACAATGTGCACAGATTGAGTGGTTCTTGAAAATGATCTAAAAGCACCTGGATCTCAGTATCACCAAATTTCTTCAAGAGCTCTTTGCTATTCAATGGCCATGTATTGATATTGCACACCAAAAGTGCCAAGGTATGTGGGTCATTTAGATCTCCAAACCTTCTTTCAAAATGAGAAATTAAGACACTTAGGATCTTTTCCTTATCTATACCAAAACTAGTTGAATCATTCTGCAACTCTGTGATACCACAGTGAAATGTGAATTCCTCTCACTTGCTGTCCTAGAGTAAGCCACAAAGGGCTGGTCCATTGCATGTAGTATATCTTTTTAACACTTAGAGTTGCATTTAGGGTCTCAGAAACATCACTTAGGATACAATCCTGCCTCTACACTATTTCAAAAAATTCTCTCAACAATGATGTAATGTCTAACATTAGATGAAGACAGAAAACCATCTTTCTTGATCTTAGATGTCTCAGAAAACCTTTTGCTTTACCTTTAGATGCAGCAGATGCACTTTGACCATTGGAGACAACTTTCAAATATGCAATAAATGCTGGGTATACCTTGAGTAGGTATTCTATTGCTATATTTGCATGTTGCACCTAATGTGTGCCTCCTACTTGTGTAGGGAGTCTTTTCTTGGTGTTTTTCACTTTTCTTGATTTGATCAGCCCACCCCTGCTACTGATGAATTGTGATAGTACAGGTAAAAGCTCAAAAGGAAATCATCTCAAACGTTTTTGGTGTTTCAATTCTTTGACTGCATCTTTGATAGACAATTATACTCTACGAGCTATGCAATGTACTGGAATTATCTAACAGTAAGCCTAACAGAAAAAAGCAATGTCAGCTTATATTTTTGAATTTCTAAGTATGTAGGCAGTGGTGGGATTCAGCCGGTTCGCACCGGTTCGTGTGAACCTGTTCTTAGAATTTAATGACCTCCACGAACCGGTTGTTAACAATCGTATGTATAGACCTAATAATAACGTTACAACTTACAAGTACGCGTGTTTACAACGCAACTTTACTAGCAGGCTAGGCAGACTAGGTCTACTAGATCTCTGATGAATCATTTGCCAGCTGGTAAGTGTTTTTTTATACAGATTCTTATGATCTTATCTAAATTATTATTATTAGATTTAACTTAGTT